ATTTACGACGGGTTCGTAGCCCCAGAGCTATCACCTATCCTACTATCATAGGTACATATTTTGTATTTTTTGGCACTAAACCAACATGTATACCGTGTAGTGGCGGTGTAAGAATATCGACTATTCTATAAACTTTATATCACCCCGTGGGTGGGTGTCCTAAGAGGCGATAGACGTAAACAAATCAGGAGATGGGCAATAACGTCTTCTTAATAACGACTAAAAATAAAAAGTAAACTACGGTTGACTACTCGCTTGTCAAGCGTGGCAACTATGTAATATGTAAATATGCGCCAAAACTGTTATTAATCTTAATAACCACGAATTTAAGAAAATCCTATAACAAATTATTAACGGCTTGAATAACGACTGAAGAATTGTTCGCGAAAATCAATTACAATAGAATTAGTACCATATTATTACTTTTTCTATTATTTTGTAACGAACATATTTCTTTATAATACTAATATACATTATAATATTTACGCAATAGACGGAGAAGTCTGAGGGCCTGTAGCACAGTTTTAACTAACGCAGGATTCAGAGCTCAACGCTTCGATATTCTGTCAAAATTAAAGCGGTCAAATATGACCGCATCCACCCACAGCACTTTAACCCATAAGTACATATATATAAAGATTACTTTTCTATGGAGAAGTTTAGCATTATATAATCAATAAGATTTTTTTAAATCTTATAGTGCAATAAAAAGTTAGTTATCCCAAAGATATTTATTTCTAATCTACGTTCATTTCGTACGCCATTTTCGCGTGAATGTGTTGATTTTTGGATTTTTCTAGTGTTTTATTAGTGTTTTAGTATAGTGTTTTATTATAAAACTGTAATGAAAATTTTTGTGTGAATATAATTTATCTTTTTACGTAAATAATTTCGAGTAATATATATTGAAATAGTTGTGATTTTCACGCCGCCGACATTCGCTTGATATGTTTTTTTTTTGTTATCAAAATACAATAAAATCTTTTTGTAATGAAGTAAAACCTGACTTTTGTTTAGACTTTTGTGTAAAAGTTCTTCATAGAAAATTAGTCTCTAAATATACGTTTTAATGGTTTTAAGTGAGGTGGGTGGGTGCGGTCGCATGCGACGGCTCGGGATTTGCTGGCGCATGCGACTGCATGGGATTTTTATGAGGTTTAAAGGGTTTAAATTTCATTTCATTTCATTACAGCCAAGTAGTGGCGGGATTAGAATATCCACTAACTCATAATATCATCCCGTAGGTGTCGTAAGAAGAGACAGAGGGCAACTGAACCCGAGATGGGCAGCCTCATATTCCTAACAGGTAGAATAAAAAAAACAGCCGTTGTCAATTCGCTTGCCAAGCATGGCAATTATTGAGAATATTCCAGTATGAGGCTCTCTATGGAGGAGGTCTATGTACAGCAGTGAATGTTAAGGAGTACAGACTGTGTATTAAAAAGTGTCCGTAAAAAAAAACCATTAAATAAAGGTGGCGCCACTATAGCTACGGGGTAAATTTTAAAGAACGCGCCAAAAAATATTAGTGGGATAGACAACTTTTTCGAGATTATATTTACTAAATAAAATTATTTTAGATTTTAGAGCTACTGAGCAGTTCAGCAGCACACTTCACACCGTCGACAACTGCTAAGTTCATTTCATGTAGCTGTTTCCTGTAGCTACTCCAGCGCTGTTGTGGAGAGTTTTTGAACTGTTATTTATTGTTTGCAGATGGACACTTTTCAACTATTCTCCTATGAGAGCTTGTTCTCCGTAAAACGTTTGATAGGCTCATGGCTCATGGAATGAGTCATTTGATATTATAATTATTGAAGAATATGTTAATAATTATACTATAGAGCCATCTATCGGAATCTAGTAAAACTATGAGCCATTGTCAAGATTTCACGTTATTCAAAATTTACGCGATCATTCAAACGCACCAAATATTATAAATTCGTCTGGCTGGTTCGAACGACGTTGTTCTGCTCGTTGGGGTAGTTGGTGCGATGAGTTTTTAGTGATTTCGTAAATACCAATGACCAATTATATTGTATATAAATCAATGACTTACTACAGAGCCACCTATCGGATCCTCTCCCGTACCTATAGTCTCATATGGGGGATATTTGCTTCAGTTGCCGCGCTTGGCAGGCGAGTTGGCAAACGCAGTTTTTTAATACTATTGATTTGTTATTACTTATTAGGAAGATACTGCTGCCCATCTTCTGTTTCATTTCCCATTCACCTCTTACAATACCCACGGGGTGATGTATGTGGTAGTGGTAAAGTGTGCGTGTGTGAACGTGCGAATGTGTGTTTTAAGAGCTCTACGTTATTCTTCTTATGATTTATAGTCCTCCTTTTTTGCAGTTACTTTACCTATTATCAACGTATTATTTTATTTGTCGTCTGTAGGATATCAGAGCTTTACTTTTTAATAAAAGCGCCATCTTGTAGGTTTTAAGAGCGTTAACAAGAATTAGTTTTCATTAAGTGTCACGGCAAAAATTTAATTACTTTTCTTATCAACAGATGACGCTTTATCCTCAAAGTCAGTTAACGTAGGAATTAAAACAATAGCTATTTTTAAATGTGATTGCTATTTCGAATAATACTTTTGTGCAATTCCATTTGCATCCATACCAGAAGATAAAAGTCTACTGCTGAACGTAGGTCTCGCCAGTAGATTGCCTCATATGTATATTTTCTTAGCTCATTCTCACTTCAGTTTACGAATCCGTTGTGTTGGTCCAAAATAGTTGAACTGTTATTCTTCAGCGGATATCCCCGTTACGGGTGTGGACAGGAACAGAAACGTAGCTCACACATCAATTGAGCTTCTTCTGCGGTTAATAGTTGAAGACCGAGAAGAGTTGAAGAAGAAATTATAACTGGTAACCAACGACCACACAGCTTCGGAAGCTGTGTAGTGTGTGCAGGGCAGTTTTATTTTGCTCGGCCCCAGTTTATTTCGTTTTGTATCGTAAAAACGATTTAGCTGCATATAGTGCACATGGATAAACATTCATACACAGAACAATAATTTAAAGACAATAAGAACATTTATGCCGAGGGAGATTCGAACCCTTCACAACGCCGTAGCCAGACGCTTATCCACAGCAAAAAGTTGCGAGTTCGATTTTGCCTTACGAAGACCGTAAACTACTCAAAGCACTAGGTTAATAAGCTTAGTTGACCTAGTAGTTTGGCTAATTAATAGAAGTATTAAGTTTTATAGCGTGCCCACTATTCCTAAAAAAATATTAGAAATTTAAAAGTCGCTTAGCCCCCGAACTACCCATGCCTACAATCCCGTAATAGGTACCTACTAACTATATAAAGTTCGCAACGTGCCAAGCTCTTAGTTCGCACCTAGTTTGTTATCGTGTGCAACATAAAATAGGTATAAACGGTTTCGGTATTATGGTTTTGCTTTTCTTCTTCCATAAGTAGTAACTTGTCTGTAACTTGCTACTATCAGCCGTACAGTCTGCTGACCCACTGAACATTTTACCTAATTCGCCTAACCAGTCGGCCAATCATTTAATTTATTGTTTACGATCTCGAAAGTACCTTATTATTATTTATTAACGATAATCGTTGTGACTATCCTCATGTATATGACGCTGCAGCTTAGTTAACCATCGACGTTATCTACTATGTGTTACCTTGCACTGACCCAAGACTTAGAAATTTTGAATGGTTTTAGACGAATGAATGCTTTTTTATTTGGGCATGTGTAAGTAAGTTATATTTTTTGAAAGTACTATGTCATTAACACAGATTACACATTAACAGATTACACTAGAATAGAAAAAAAAAAGACAAAATAATTAAAAGTTGTATAGATCATATATTTGTGCGACCGCGTACGTTCGACCTGTACTCGGGCGCTATTGGTACTGTATAAGAGCAAGTCCACACGGCGCGTTGCGTTGCGTTGCGTCGTCGCAACGCAAATATTTTGATGCATAGCCGGCCACACAGGCGCTGCGCTGCTCCATCGCAGCGTTACTACGATGCAGTCTTAAGTCTTAACGTTCCGTGGGTGCAGCGGCGACGTACAGTTGCGGCAAGCATTTTGTAAAAACATCGCAGTCAGTCTGTAGTCTGAATTGGAAAAGACGTCTAGCATTGCTCCAATTACTACGTCACCGTCGAAATCGACGCAAGATCACAATACGTTATTGGATCTGTCCGTTTATTTCATTAAGAAATAGTAATGGAGAGTTTTTTTTGTTAGAGTATCGGTAGTTGCTATTAGACGAAAAGAAGTTTTATAATTTTTTAGAATGAGTGTATCCAGCTTCGAATGTTTATTGAAGTCCTTAGAACCACACATACGAAAAAACTATACTAATATGAGGAATCCAGTGGAACCAATAGAAATGCTGGGAATTACTTTAAGGTAAGAATTTATATAAGTAATGAAAAGATAACAGGTTTTTTGGTCTGTTTATTATATAATCAACTAATCAATATCAGAATTCAACTAACAAATAATCAGCAATTGTCATAAGTTTAAGTTTAGAGAGACTTTATCCAGTAATTACATATTTGAAAAATCGTATTCGGTTTCTTCACTTGCTTGAGATGCTTGATCTGGAGATGTAATTGAATTATTATAATCAGAATTGTATGTACTTTGAAAATTTGTTGTTTGATACCCATATGATAATGGTTGTTGAGACGTTGATGGGCCACACACATATGATGATATACCATTAAGTATTATTTACTTTGGAAATGATTGCAAAATCCTAGTTTTAATCCCCTCAAACTCATCTATTTGCATTGCCCTTTTGCGCGCGACTGGAACATAGCGCGGAGACTCGTCTATAGCAACTTCATCATTTGTAGACGTAGATTCAGTGTTGCTTTATCTAAGCGAGTTAAGCTAGATTCGGTGGCATTTTGTTCCACTCTTCTCAAAAAAAGAAGTTGGTTATATAAATGATACTTTTTCAGATTCGTAGCGCCCGAGCCCGATTTTGATGCTTCTTTTATTTTTTTTAAGTATCTGAAAAAATTATCTTACTACTACTGATACTTTTCCATTTCTTCACTAAATCATTACCTGCAAAACCAATAGTAAACAAGAGTTAATAAGTTATACTATACATCGTGAATTTTTGATTACCCAAGAAAATTTACTGATATATTCAGACATCGATAACAAACAACTTTCACTATGTGACCAACTCTGGAATCGCAAAAAAAATAACAGCTGTTACCTATAAAAGTGCAATAACTACTGAACCAAAATGTATGGAACCGCCTTCTCTTACATACTGGGCCCCAATCGTATTCATTTGAATGCGGACCTGGAATGACCGACAGATTCCGACCTCTGCTTATGACACACAATACCTAATTAATTTTTAATTTCCTTCATCAAGGTTCGCCTGGAAGAGATAACTTCAAGCAATAAGGCCGCCTTTTAGTATTAATTAGTTCTTATGTGCAATAATGAATTTATCTATCTATCACATAATTATTAAAATAATTGTTTTTGTTTCAGATACCTAGGAAGTGGAAATTCAATAACGGATTTACATTTGAAATTCAAACGGTGAAAATCTACTATTGCGTATATGATACATAGAGTTTGTCGTGCTATATGGATAAATCTTCTTCGAGACAATATTCCAGAACTGACAGTTGAAAGATTCCAAACAACAATAGCGAGGGATTGTGATGTAAAGGCAAATTTTTTCTCACTGTGTTGGTGCCATCGACGGCAAACACATCCGCGTGTTTAATCCTGCAAACAGTGGCTCACTTTTTTTGATTATAAAGCCTTCTTTTCGATTGTGTTGCTAGCTATTGTGGATTCAAATTACAAATTCATTTTTGTCGACATCGGTGCATACGGAAAAGAATACGATTCAACCGTGTTTCAAAATTCTAAACTGTACGAGCTAATGATTAACAACAACTTACCACTACCTCATCCCCAGCCACTCTCTGGTTTCAATACACCAACCCCGTATGTATTTGTGGGTGACGGGGCTTTTGGACTGAGCAAAAATATTATGCGTCCATATTGTAGTCAAAATCTCGACTTACAACAAAAGGTTTTTAATTATCGTCTAAGCAGGGCCAGAAGATATGTCGAATGCGCTTTTGGGATTATGACAAACAAATGACGCATTTTTCACAGACCGATAGACGTGTCCTATAACTTCGCTACTGACATAATAAAAGCATGTTGTGTACTACACAATTTTGTCGCTGATCGAGATGGTTTTAGACAAAGAGATAAATTTGCTATAAGTGTTGATGAATTTCTCCCAATACAACCCGCAGATGAAGAACAGACAGCACCGAATGTCATAAGACAGCATTTTGCGACCTATTTTATGACTAGAGGAACTCTGCCTTGGCAGCTAAATAAGGTATAATACTATTTATTACAAAAAAAAACAATAAATATGTATACTGTAAACTCACCAACTTTGTTTTTTCGTTCAGGTGTGAAATTCTCGTAATCAGGAAATAAAACTTTTGATATTTTTTCCCAAGCTTTTGTTTTTAAATTTTTATTTTTAAAATCTACGTGTGACTTGTCCCATATAATTTCCCTTTCCTGAATCAATGTAATGAAGTAATCCATGTCAATTTCTTCAATGGCACTCATTTCACCCTACAAATAAAACTGAATACAAAAGTACGTAAAAAATGAAATGAGCTTGCGTGTATCCTCGCTATCAACGCACAAGCAACTGAACGCTGCCGCTCCGACGTCGCACTGAGTCCACCCCCTCCCGCTTCGTCTCGGGGGCTGCTGACCGTCATGTGTGCGTTGCGCCAACGCAGCGCGCCGTGTGAACACCTTGGTTATTTGTATGTAAAACAACGCAACGTCAGCGCTGCGTCGAACCAACGCTGACGCAACGCGCCGTGTGTTCGTGCCCTTAGCCGATCATCGCATGACCGTGCTAACACACGGGATGAATTTGAAAATATTATTTTATATGACAACAAAAAACTTCATACAATGCTGAATGAAATAGACTGGTCACCGGTTAATAATATTCAATGTCCTATTAATATAAATAATTTTATAAAAACTAATTTTATGGAATGCTACAGTAAATGTAAATTAATAAAAAAAAAACAAAACAAAGTAGCAAACGAAATAAAAAGAATTGGATAAATGAAGACATCATAAATATGTGTAAAATTAGAGATAATTTGTTTACTAAATGGAAAAATGACTCGAATAATAAACTTCTAAGACTAGAATATAACAAATATAGAAATAAAACAATTAAATTTATTGAAAAAACTAGAAATAATTACTATTATCAAAAATCGATAACAATATGTCTAATCCAAGATATACTTGGAAAATTGTAAACAAATAAAAAAAAAAACTTTGTGGCAAAGTTACCGAAACACTAGATGAATAATTAAATAAAGCATTTAACTTCAAAAATCAAAATAGTAAAACGATTGCTGATAATTTTGCTACTGAGTACGATAGAAACTTAAAAAAATATTATACCAAAATGTAACATTAAAATGCTATCAGATGATTTGTACACACATCCAGTAGATAAGTCTATACGGTTTCAAAAAGCTAACACAAAGCAAATAAAAAATATAACAAAAACACTTAACACAAAAAAGGCACCAGGTGTTGATAGAATTCGTACAATTAACATAAAAGCCGTATCAGAAAAAATTGCTAAAGTAATTGTCAAGTTAATTAATAGTAGTATAGAAACAGGTATTTATCCTACAGATCTAAAGCTAGGTTTGGTATGGCCTATTTACAAAAGTGGACATCATGATGATTACAGTAATTACAGGCCTATTACTATACTTCCAACAATTGACAAAATACATATCCAACCAGCTTCACAACTTTTATCAAAAACATAAAATTGCTTAGATGAGAAAAAACATGTATTAATTGCATTCATCGATTTTAGTAAAGCCTTTGATACCTTGAAACATAATATTCCTATAAGAAAACTCGAAAACTCTGGTGTTAGAGAACGCTTCTTAAGATGGTGTAAAGATTATGTTAGCAATCGATATTTCCAAGTAAAGATAGAAAATAATTTAAGTATTAAAATGCCTATGACTACAGGTACGGCACATGGCTCAGTTGTAGGGCCACTCCATTACTTAACATACGTAAATGAATTAGAAAATATCATTAAAAAATGTAGTTTATACCAATATGCAGATGATACGTGCCTTGTGTCAGAAGATAAAAATGTGGATATCTGTGGATTTTTCACGCCTCTCTATGTGGGCTCGCGATCTAGGACTTGTAATAAATATACAATAAACTAAGGTACTACTTACTTACCACTTCATTCTAGTCATATCAGGAATATTATGCCAGTAAGCATTGTTGCTCATAATCATCTTTGTCTGCACAATATAATAACTTGTAATCCCACTTGTTAAGTATCACACATACTTAGGACTGATCATAGATGGTGGGATGAACTGGAAGAATCATATTGATTACGTGTGTAGTAAATTAAGGGCAACCCTAGCGAAATTTCATATTATTTGTAATAAAGTTCCATTTAAAATTCGTCTAAGCCTATATAATGCTCTAGTGGAATCGATAGTAGTATCATATGGTCTTAGTAGTTATGGACGAACTTTCCGCACTTACCTAGATAAAATATACAGCTTACAAATAAGAATTTTAAAATCTATATTGCCTCAACACATTAAGGACAAATATCGAAATGGTTACTCATACCTTTTCACGTATTGCAAAGTTTTACCCATACATAAAAAGGTGAAATATATGCTTATAAAAGAATTTTATGAATACTCGATGTACCCAACCCCTAGGGAACGCATTTATAGCACTAGAAATAATACACCTTATTTACCAATTAGAACTGATAATTACTACGGTAAGAGAACACGTATATTTCTAATACCATACATATTAAATGCTATACCTACGGAGATAAGAAGCCAGCTAACCGCACAAAACTTGAAAACAAAACTTAAACTCAAAAAAATCTATATATATTATTTCAATGAGAATCATAACGAGCTATATCTATCTATGCCAATAATTGCTAAAATGAACAAATAAACAAAACGTGTAACAAAATAAAATACATGAAAAAAAATACACTCCGTGTGTACTAGCATAAATACTAGGCTGCACTAAAAGTATCGGGAATGGAATATTTCCACTGTTCCTGTCATATTAAAATCTTTTTAATTGAAAACTCCTTGGTTTTAAAAATCAAACTTGTTTAGTCGTTGAGAAAATGGAATTTACTCGAGAAAATTCAAGACCGAGGATTTATTATGACTTTTGAAGTGGTTTAACACAAAAACAGTGTATTGACCGGATGATTTCTGCATTTGGTGATGAAGCCCCATCCAAAACAACAATTTATCGCTGGTTTGCTGAATTTCAACGTGGACGTGTCAAGCTCAGTGATGATCCCCATCAAGGTCGTCCAAAAACTGCAGTCACCCAAGAAAACGTTGATGCTGTTCGTAAGCTGATTGAGGAAGATCGACATGTGACATACCGCGAAATTTAGGCAACTTTAGACATTGGCATGAGTCAAATACAAATAATCTTGCATGAACAATTAGGTGTAAAAAAGTTGTTTTCCCGATGGATACCGCATTCGCTCTGTAAAGAGCAAAAAGCTGCTCGCGTTACTTGATGCGTCAGTACTCTCGAAAGATTCCACGCAGGATCCTCAAATGCGAGTTGTATACACAAACATCGTATCAGGTGACGAATCCTGGATATACGCGTACGAACCCGAAACAAAAAACCAGTCACGAGTTTGGGTGTTCGAAAATGAGTTAAAGCCAACAAAAATTGTTCGTTCACGGAGTGTTGCAAAAAAAAAATGGTGGCCACGTTTGTCTCCAAAGCCGGCCATGTTACGACTATTCCTCAGAATGGTATGCTAGCATTTGTTTGCCACAGGTCGTTTCTGAACTCCGTAAAGAGAATTGTCACCGCCGCATCATCCTCCATCACGACAATGCGAGTTCTCACACCGCACATAGAACAAAAGAGTTTTTAGAGCAAGAAAACATAGAATTATTAGACCATCCGCCGTACAGCCCCGACTTAAGCCCTAATGATTTCTATACTTTCCCTAAAATAAAGAATAAATTGCGTGGACAGAGATTTTCATCACCCGAAGAAGCTGTGGACGCCTACAAAACGGCGATTTTGGAGACCCCAACTTCCGAATGGAATGGTTGCTTCATTTATTGGTTGCATCGTATGGAAAAATGTGTCAAATTTCGCGGAGAATACTTCGAAAAGCAATAAATACATTTTAGTAATGTGTCACTTCCTTGATTCCCGAAATTTTCAGTGCCACCCTCGTAAGATAGTACAATATATCGGATAAGCGAACAATTAAAGTATTTATCACTATTCCGTAAACAATACCAAAAACTACCTTCTCCACAAAAAAAATAGTTTAAGAAATACATTTTATATAAAAATTTTATGATAAATTTTTTTTAAACATTTTGTTGCACAATTATTACATAGTACTTTATATTTAGTTTAAGTAAAAGTTAATTTCAATGTCATCTAAATAATAAGCTTAAGTAAATTAATGCATAAGAGCAAACTGTGCAGTGCCAAGACAAACAATAGATGTTTAATGGCACGAAGAAATTGATTTTGTAATTAAAACTGTTACTTTGTTGAATAAAAAAAAACATTTAGAAGTTGTCACGTAGTTTTAACGTCAGCTAGGAGAAAAACAAATTTCGCTAAGTACGTGAGGATAATATGGTCATCTTAAGCTTTGCCGCCCTATAAAACCAAAACTAGAAGAAGGACAAAGACAAAAATACAAAGTCGTATAATATAACTAATATATTAAGAAAAACAATTACAAACAAGCTTTGGAAATAATTAGGAACACTTTAAAAAATCTACTTAAGAGGATTGTGAAGCTGTAAATTTTCATACAAAAAGCGATAACGTTTTCCCACCAGTAAACATAGTCTAATTTTCATATTTTTTATAAATGTTGTAGATATAACAAAAAACTAGGTCCGTACGTTTTAATTTTAAAGAAATATAACGTACGATTTAAGTTATTAGCATCTAAATATCTATATTTTTGACTTAAAAACTTCCTCGAGCGTTTTTATTTTTATTAATTAAACTAAACTGATTTACTATAAAAGAAACGTACAGACCTAGACTAAGATGTACTGAATCTAATGGTACCAAAATTATCTCATTTCGTAAAGGTTTAGGGGGGTAAAAATGTTATCGCCCGAAACAATATTTCAATAAAGAAATGTAGGCAATTGCTTCCAAGACTTGCAACTCTCTCTATCGCACGATACGGGTCGGGAGGCAGGAGCATACGCATACTGCTGTAGTTGTGGTTTGTTGTTATTAGATGTTGGAGATTTTATCGATATACATATATTTGACGTATAATGTATAGATTTGACGGCTACGTGGCGCAGTAGCTCAGCAATGAGTTATAGCGCTGAGGGCCGCGGATTCGAATCCCGCACGGCACAAGTATTTGTATGACCTACAAGTAATTGTTCCGGGTCTGGATATTTGTCCTTGTGCAATTTATGTATGTAAAAACTGCCTCCACAATACAGGAGAAAGTCCTAGTGTGGGTTTTT